TATGTTTTACGTCCAATGGATGCATGATCTGATTAGTCGACTAATCGCAAAAATAATCGGTGACTAGTCGACTATCAAAATAATCGTTTGTGGCAGCCCTACTGCAGTGTTTTTGGTGTGCCTAAACTTACCTGGACGGAACTGTTTGACGAGGACAAAACAGTGTGAGGTGGTGTTGAAGATCAGCACAGATACACTGCAGACATTGGGGTGTGGGAGAAAGGCAGAGTTAAACAAAATATTCTCAAAGAACATGTTTTCTACCTGCCAAAATGACACATCACTGGTGCAGTGACGTCAAGTTCAAGAGAGCAATAAGTCATTGGTGAACCAATTTTTAAATCCCTTGTGATGGAATCACCAGTCTAAAACATGCACAAGTCAAAGAACCCTGGATTCATGTATAAAGGTGGTCAAGCGTCGGGTCCAAACGCTGGTTTTTGCCAGCTGACAACCAAAAGTAAGATCACAACTGCTAGATGTTTTTTTTAACCTGGCTCATACAGCATGGCACAGGAGCTCAGAGATACTTAGACTTCCTGAAAACAGAAGACCGCCTGGTAAAAACTACAACTCTACCAAATTTCTTTACCTGGCACATTCTCCAAAACCAGTATAAAGCCACCGTAAATAGTGACATCACAGCTGTTGCACGACACAGGCAATGTCGTGACTTTAAACTTAATGCAAGATGCTACTTGTGGGGGGGGGGGCTTCTCGTCACTATGTCTGTGTGACTGAGGCTAAACAATCATACCTGTGTTTCATTGTGTCTGGTTTCCGTTATAATGTTCATCCACTTGAAAGTAGTTTTACTTGATTCTGCAGTTCATAATTAATCCTGGTTAATCGTCTACTGGGTCTTAGTCCTTCGGTTCATTCTCTGTCTGAAACGAGTTGTTTCAGGGACTCTCCATTTAAATAAACCTTGGTCCAATTGGTTACCCTTAACAAATAGAAGATGTGAAAAGCAGGTGTGTGGGGCTTCTGTGCAAAAAAAAAAAAAAAGCCATCTGCCTGAGACGCCCATGTTAAGAAAATCCACCCTTACTAACATTAAAAAGAAAGTTGGGGAAAAGAAACTGAAATATACAAAATGTTACGTAGTTCTGTGCCATTCAGGGAGACACACATCTCAGTGTTTAACAAAAATCATAACCTACAAACAAACGGAACCATCATACCCCTGACTTAACCTTTGTATTAGACATTTCCTGTTACAAAGACCTAAAAATAGCATGCCACTAAAAATAAAATGGTATGCCAAAATGAACACTTTTCTAAAATAAGAGTCTTGCTTCACTGCTGATATTCACAATGACTCTTAACAAGCAGGATATGGAGATAAAATAGAAGGAAGGTCAGCATGATATGCTTCGCCACTGGCACCCAAAGAGTTCTATAGGCACAGGTGGGTCACCGCTCGAGTGTGTTTGTGTGTATGTGTGTGAGAGTCTGACTGTTGCCGTTTGTGGCGACTTGAGGCCTGGGGTTTGTGTTGGGAAAGCGGATGCGTCTGAGGCGGCAGGAAGCCCTGCCCTGTCTTTCCCATGGAAAGAAGGAACCAAGAGTTTGCTGGTACAACACCTAGCTGCAGCTCCTGGGCTGATACTTGGTTAATGTCTGTTTGCGTTTTAGATTTTCAGTTTTGCCTTTTCAAACATGTGTAATGTCAGCTGACTGGTTAATCCTTCTTAAAAACGGGATCGTTCCCTCTGTAGTTTTTTTTATTGAATCCACTACCTCATTTAACCTTCAGTGAAAACAAATGTCTAGTCCCTACAGTGTGCATTAAATCAAAGGAAAAGTAACTACAGACCTCACTTTGATTGGTACAAACACAGATCATAGCACACACAGATTAAAAAGTCATTAAAAACACCTCTACTGTGCATACTTAAAGCTGATAAAAAAGGTAAAGGAGACTACACCAGGTAATAAATGTAGCAGCAAGTAGGCCTGTAAACTATGACAGCCATTAACTGTTTGCCATTTTTACAAATTCAAACATGCTCGCTGCTTTGTTGGGTCCTTTTTCAAAACACTTTTGTGTTCAAAATTGCAGAATTGAACTTGCACTTCCAGCAATAACAAGTTAAAATCAAAGCTGGAATTAACTGTGGGGATCCTTATAAATTTGCATAAAATATACCACCTCATGGCCCTGAAAACAGCTTCAGAAAAAGGTCAACTGTCTTTCTGTTACTGATTAAAAAGCCTTTGATTCATATCTGGATCCAGTGAGCAAACTCTGCGACTTATCTATTCAGCTCCTTTCGCCATACTCCATTGTTTGCTCTCACTTTGAGAACACAGAACAGCCATTTTCACCTCCTCCCTTGCATCTTTCTAGAGCTTCTTTTTCACACTGATATTGCTGAAGCTGATTACAGATATACACGAGAAGACTGCGCTGTAGGGCAATATCACCTCACAAGACACAAGTGAGGAGGATGTAGACAAAAAGTGGGTCACAGGCCTGAGGCATTGGAGCTGTCCCTTGTGGCAAGTCATGGTCTTATAGTGCTGTTACACACCATTACTGCTCTTCTACTGCTTCCTGGTGAAAAAAAAAGAGCTCTAACAGTTAAACCAAGAAGCAGGCTAAACAGACACTCAGGACTTTTCATGCACGGTTAAGCTTTCTCTCTGGGGCATCTGGCTGAACAGCGGGAAATCTGGGTTAAGGCAGACGTATGAGACGCAGGACTAAGGTGACTACTGGTAGAAAGCTTATGGTTTAAGGATATTATTATTATTTGGCCCAAGTCCCACTAGAAAAAAAAATGGGTTAAAGGCTACACAATCCATCTTCTGCTGTCAGATCGGAGCCAAGGACATAACCACATCCCTTCTTTAATTTACCAGCTTTGGTTTAAATGAGTCAAGTGTCGTAATATTATATTTTTTAAATGTTAAATGCTTTTTTTTAAATGAATTATAAGATGCAAATTCTTTATTGATATAAACAGAGCCACATTATGAACTAATAAAACTTACAGCAAGCTAAAATGCATTAGAACAAACAACAAACAAGGGTTTAACACAATAATAATTGTATTTTTATCTTTGCTTTTCTGTTGCCTCTGAGCGTCTTTTATTCTCAGACTCATTATGTGAAGCTTTCTGTTATGAACAAGGACTACAAACCAATAAGAATGGCACCTCTGCAATGAGAAACCTCCTATTTCCAAAGGTTTATCAGCAAGCATCTTAATACACATATATAAAAACAGGACATCCTATCAGGCAAAGAAGGACATGAAGCTGATGTCCCATAAGTATGAATGATCTAAATTATAGTTTAGAGTGTAGTTTTTATGTTTGTCTTGTTTGGAAAACCATTTCCACGCAGTCAAGTGTGATTTTACAGTCAGGTAGCTTTTCTCAGAAGGCAATATGCAAACTTCAGTTTTAATGCTCTCCAAGCTCTATAGAAATAACAGTTTCTTAAATAAGTTAAAGAGGTAAAACTATATACTGTTCAGATACTTTATTACCCTAGTGGTATTGCTAATTCTGTTAAAAATGTTGCAGAGTTTGTTGTCATCCGTGACTCACCTATAAAGTAATTTGTGCTGTTGTGTCTGAAAGGCCCATGGAAGAGCAATTCAGTTTCATGTGTTTTTGTAGTTTTCAGGTCAAACCCTGCTTGTGCAAACAAAGTAAGCACTTTCTCTAGATAAGTGGCAGCTAATGAAGCATGTACTTCCAGAATCCTTGGCTCCTGGATTGAGGATCTGCACCTCTAAGTCAAAAGCCGCTGAACATTTTACAGTCAACTGTCGTATTTACACTGAGAGTAAATTGTTCCCCTTGTGCAGAGTTAAGTACTATATCTAAGGCAATATCCACACACGGATCTATTAGCAGTTGTGTGGCAATCAGAGTCCATAGAATATCAATTACATTGAGCAATTTCAAGTGACAGCGGGAGAAATAACCCCCGGGCAAAACGATATGGGCAGGTACAGAGGTAAATTTTTCCCATCTTAGAGCAATCGAAGTGACTACCAATGAGAGCAAAGGATATGCAGCAGTCGATTGAAAAACACATGGGTGGCAAATACATTAAAGGTTTAACAAGGCAAATAGAGCCTGGAATGTCCAGTAGCAACCAAATGTCAAAATATTTAAATATTGACAGGCCTTAAGAGGTGAGGCCTGTCCAACAAGAAGATGAATCCATAACATGTGGAATACATGTGAATAGGTGGATAATCCACATAGTGAGGGAAAACCCTTGGGATCCTTCAGAAGAAGCTAAAGGGAAAGACTTTGAACCAGATACACCATGAAATATCATGAAATATCATGAAATATCATGAAAACCCAGGTTATCAGTTAACCTTACAGTTTAATTGTATTTATTTATGCAGTACTGTCAGGTAAAGACCTTTTAATAATCTTGGTAAATGAAATTTCTATTAACTACTGTAATTTTCCCAGGAGGCCACTTATCAAATAACCACAAATCTTGGTAAATGTGCATGCTTATGAAGCAGATGAATAACTGTGCACGTCACCACAAACTCATCTTCATAAGAATTTTAGAAACAAGCTGAAAAAATGTATTCAATAATGTATCTCATACCATTCTGACTACAGTCTTTTCTAGTCTAATGTTGCCTTTGATTAAAAAAAAAAAAAATCTGTCTTTCAAATCTTTGACTAGTTCTTCTGAAAGACAACATCCTGCTGAGAAGAAAATGCTATGCACACTTGCACAAAAATGCAAAACAATCCAGGGTCTATTTGATACATGCCCCACGGGGACTAACCCGTTTCGCAATATCCACATGGGGTAGAGAAGGTTTGGGTTAACTGCTTCTTCCCTCTGTGGCACTATTTTTCAGAAGAACTTCTCTTTGGGGTCATTAGTAGAACAAAATGGGGCTGAAATAACCCGAGACTTACCTCAGGGCATTATGGCAGACTGAGAGTTGGAATTACGGCTTTGACGCAAATGTGTGATATTTCTCTTACAGAGCCCCAATAAAGTTCAGACATTTATTGCCACTTTCCCTGTAGAATTGCATGGCACTGCTTTCTTCAAAACAAGGTGTGTTAAGGTTGACGATCCTCCAAATACAATGCATTTTTAAGAGAAACCAGATCATTGTGGTGTAAAAATACCAGAGAAATCAGATGAGAGGAAATTGGTTTGGATGTTCAGGAGCAATCTAGGAACCAATAAGGCTTAAGCCTACCATGGTCCGGAAACTGCCGTTTTACATAGCCAGAATGACAAGAGGTATGTCTGGAGGACTAAAGGCTTTTAAACTTAAGTACACTGGACCGACTGCCAAGCATGGTGGTGGTAGCATCTTGGTCTGAGGTTGTTTTACTGCCTGTAGTAATGGTACACTGCATAAGTGGATGGAATAATCAAAAATGAGAACTACCTCCAAATTCTTAAAGCTTTACTCAACAGTTAGACAACTAAAACTTGCACACAACTGGAATGATGCTAAACACACATCAAAACAGGTTTTGGAATGAATAAAGCAATCTAACATTAAACTTCACTTCACTATCCCAGTGACGTTAAAAATGTTATTGCTCCGACTTGTGAAATTATGAATTCTTATAAAGCAACAAATCTTGTCATGATCTAAAGAAACCTGAGAACCAGTAAGAAACAAAGTCATTGACATCTATCAGTCTGGAAAGGATTACAAAGCCATTTTTAAGGCTTTGGGACTCAAGCAAACCACAGTGAGAGCCATTATCGACAAATGGAAAAAAACTGCCAATAATGAGAAAACTTCTGAGCACGGCTTTATGTTTAAAACAAGCTCTCGAGATTGAATAACCTCTCCTGACATAAATATGTATGTTATACAGTTTCTCAACAATAACAATGCTGTGTGTCAAGGTCTCATTTCAGGCTACATTAATGTTTTCTTACCTCTTCTGTGTAGTCTGGTATTATTTATTAGCCATTTAGTTTGCCAATAAGATGTATTGAGTAAATATACATGCAAGTAAAGGACAGGAGCAGTAAAAGTAAATTGAAAGTGTTTTTTACCTGTCATGGGTCCGCATGAAGTCCCACGATTTCTTTGTGCCATTCTGCGTAGAAATAAGATGACAATAAAACACCATAAATAAAAAAAGTATGATCTCATAGTAATTCTCAAACACTGCTGGGTTCCAGCTGCGTCAATCAAAGTGTTTAAAAAGATAAAGAGTGCCTACAGTTTGCAATCAGTGTATTATAACCTGTTTTATTTCATATGATTTGCATGACAAGATATCAAGTCCCCTCTCATTTGGTTAACAAGAATATTTGAGAGTAACAACTGCCGCACAATTAATGTTGTCTTATTGAAAAAAGCGCACCCAATAAAAACATCTGCAGATGCAAAGCAAAAGAAAAGCACCACGAAAAACGTGTTTTCTTTTTATGCCTTGCAATTGCCTCGCAATTGCAGAGAGAGATTCATGATAACTAAACAATAAAACACTTAAGTGACAGAAGTTGTTGTGTTTGAAAGCCCTGTGGACACATCAGCACATTGACATAACATGCAGCTTCACTCTTTCAGTAAATTTCCATCTGTATAATTATGATCAAGCTGCAAAGGAAGTGTGTTACCCACACAAAAGACAGACAAAGATATTCCAGAAATCACAGGGCTTCAATTTATAGCTTGTGACACATGCATTGTCTGGCATGTGACTCTCATCTGTAAAATGATGAGCTAACATCCTGAAAGTTTGGTTTCCTTTCTTTTAAATTATTTTCAGTAAAAATGGCTGGAAAAGGTATTTGGAGTTTGTTCCGAAATGTATAAAGCCAAATTTGTTCAATGGAAAGCTACATGCTCTAAGCTTTGCTGCTTTTTGAAAATATAAAAACTGGCATGTCCACTTCTTTTAGCATGTATTAGCCAATACATGTCATTGCTTCAATCAACTGAATTCCTAAAGCTACATTTAGCTACATGGATAAATCACCTGGGTCAAAATGTCAGGATAAGGCTCAAGGTCAACCTGCTTTCTACATAGAGCAAGGCCAGTGTAAAGCTAGCATGACCTAATGTTACAATACTCAAGGTGAAATAATACCAAAATGTTTGTCTATTTCCAGCATTTACTCAGCCAATACAGTGGCACTGAAGAATAAGTCGGGCAGATAAAAACAACATTCATCAAAGCTACAATTACACGAGTAATGGAAAACAACATTTTTTCGTCTGTTTTCCGGAAACAGCTGAAAAAGCAGGAGTAACTTCCAAAGAAAAGGTGTGCCAAGCTTATAGGATCATTACCAAGAAGACCTGAGGCCATCATTGCTGCCAAAGGTTGACTTCTTACTTGTCATTTAAATAATTGGTTCATGTACCATCAACAAGCTCTCCCTGTGTGAAATAACCACATTAACCTAGCATATTCCTATCTCTGCATCCAGTGCTGTTTAAATATGGTAAAGTTGGCCTACATTTTCTATGCCTGAAGAAATATGGCCTTGATTCAAATTTAGGCTGCACCTCCTCTCCACCTACGAGCTCTTTCAAACGCAGGGATGACACTTTTACTAGAACAGGCTTATCCCAGCTACAACACACGGTGTGTTAGTGAGCTGTTTTCAGTACCACCCAAGAAAAAGGGAGGTGGTACGGCTAATTTCACTGATTCAATCAGACAACATAACTGCTGTTGTAGCAACATGATTTGTGGTTAAAGCTGCAATATGGAACTTAAAGATTTCTATCTGAAAGGGAAAAGTTTAATCACAACTATTTGATTGTGTGGAAGTTAATTTCCTTTCAAAGTATGTTCCACAAACAAAATCAACCCCCCCCCCCAAAAAAAGAAGAAAGAAATGAGCACGGCAAGCTTGGAAGGAGGGAAGAGGCTTTATTTAGCACCCTTATTATCAGTTACTCATTTCTTTTTTTAAAAAAGTTCATTCATTTATTCAGGGTTTCATCTGTAGCGTAGTAACTAAATGGCCGGGGCCTTTCTGTATAGAATTTGCATGTTTTGTGGGTTCTCTGGTTTCCTCCCATATTCCAAATAGATGCAGTTAGTGAGGTTAGGTTAACTGGTTATTCTAAATTGCCCATAGGTATGAATGTGAGCATATGTGGCTCTCTGTCTGTGTTAGCCCTGTGATAAAATAGCGACCTGTCCGGGTGTTTCTTGTGACCCTAAATGGGATAAAGCAGAAGAAAAAAGATGGATGACTGAATGAAAACAATGCCTTAGATCCCAGTCTCTCCATCCTACAAACTGGTCAGTGACTCTCTGGGAACTACAAATCCTTTGAGATAAAACATATATTCCTTCACCGAATGGCAAGTGATTGCTGGAACTAACCAGGTATAATTAATCATAAAGAGGTACACGGATTTCACCAAAAAACAAACAAACAAACAAACAAACAAAATAGCCATACGACTCAAAACTATGATATTTACAAGACCAAAAAAACTCACATTTTAGGAGACCGTTCTGTCTTATGTTGATTACCTTTGCTTGATAAATATTTTGAAGACAAGTGAATATCATAATTTGCGCTGTACAATAGCTGTGTTACTACATGACTATCCCCTCTGTAAATCTGCGTCTAAGCAAAGGAACTAAAATGCACATCAACAAAATGCAAGCTACTGCAAGAACACGCCATCCAGCGCATGATGTAAGAGGTCATAGTCACATGACCTTAGCATGAAGCCAAGCCAGGATAATTCTGTTCATGCACCATTAACTGTCCTGATTTGGTGTGAAATGGAAGCATAAAACATTTATGTTCATTTATTTGGTTCCACAAGTTAAAGACTGCCCACTTACATATGCAATTTTACTGCATACTTTTATTTTAAAGCTGAGATAGCAACACTCAGTGATTAACTGAAGACATTTTCTTTGTCAAATAAGAGAGGAATTCCTGTCTAAAGGTCATGAAAGAGTGAAAAAGTCACTGCAACAAAGTCACTCAAAAATGCTAATTATTTATTGGCTGAAGCCTCTGAAATGTTTTTTTCCCTTTCTTAATTAATTGACAATGAAAAGCTTTTACATTTTAAACTTCATGTAATTGTATAAATTATTCCAAAATTGCAGCTGTAAATAAAAATACATTTTTTACTCCAATTTCAGTGACAAAAAAAATATTAAAAGAAGATTTATTTTGTCAGATCTCCATTAAATTCAAACAATACATTTTAACTGACTGAACTAAAAAAAGAAAAAAAGATAGAACAATGAGAGTCATACATAATCTCATGCTCAGCCATTATTAAAGGCCTGATATTATGTGATTAAAACACTGCAGACATGCTGCAGGTGTAATTACTCACAAAATCCTTCCATGTCAGAAATTAGTATATGTGTTTTACATGCCATCATATGAAACCAAGCCCTTTCACTTCTCCTTATGAAAGCAAAGCTGGTATGGTGATGGAGTGTGTGATAAATCATTTTGTCATGACTGAGGTAGGGATGCACGTTTCGTGGCTTGTTGCTTTATAAAAATGCTTGGCTCTGGAAAATGCTCTGCTGAGGCTGAATATTTTTGCCATCACTGAACCTATTACATGGAAATTGCAGGGGATTTGCATAAGTGAATGGTTACAAATGCATGCACTAGGGCCCCTAAACCCATCCATGTTGTTCAGAACTGAGCCTTTGTCAAACTGAGGCTATACATTGCATTGCTGTACAGCAGAAACATTAAAATATACAATAGAGCTATACTTTGAGATAAAATGGCATTTTATAATCCAGTCCTCCAGCTATGGCAGGTTATGGTTAAAGTGGCCCTACAGCCAAGTACAAAAACAAGACCTCTCACAGGACCAGAGACTCTGTGTGAAGGCAGCTGAATAATCTTGAGAACCCCCAGAACAACCTGGTCAACCTCCCGGTAAAGAAACACAAAACAAGAAGAATCTGAGCAAGATTTTAAGACAGAGACTGAACCTTCCGAAGAAAACCTTCAGATCTCTTGGAACAAATGCTAAAAGGAGTCAAAAATGCTTAGGTGGTCAATAATGCATCTAAAGGCTGATTTAAGCAAGCTTCTGAAATTGCTCAGTGCAGAAGAAATGTGCAGGAAAGGTGCACCATCAGTTCAGAGTAAACTGCAACTACTATACAGACATTTCTGGTAACAACACAAACTCAAGGTTATGAAACAGTGAGGATAAAAATAACATCCAAGAAGGTCTTTCTATTTAAAAAAGCAAAACAGAACAAAAAGTCATCTGGATTTCAAGATTAAAGAAATACCTTAATGTTGTCAGCAATTTCAGACAGCACCACAAAGAGACTAGCAAACACCTCGAATAGGGTTTCTTTACAGTACATCACCATTAATTGGCCATGATTACTGTTAAAAACACTGTAGATACAACACATTATCTTCCAGCAGTGACCTACTACATAAGGTAAAACTGCACTGCATGAATGTGTCAGTGCACACACATTCCCTCTTTAGTCTCCTGTCACCACTCACAGATGGCGGGGTTCCCCTCATTACTCAGGCCACTTGCTGAGAGAGGGGAGGCGGGGACAGCTTGAATGGCCCAGGGGAGATGGAGAATCATGGCCGACACGGATTACGACAGAGAGATTAGCCCACGGGGGGAAAGAGAGAGACACAGGCAGAGAAAGAAAGAGAGAGAGCAAGGCAAGCAGAAGCAGGCTACACAGGACCTTGAAATTAATGTGGTCCCTCTGGCTTTGGCCATCCGAAATGACAGGCTCGTACGTGAATGGCTGTTGTAGGGAGGGATGTATGGTCTTGATCTTTTAGGTGCTTAAAGTCTAATAACCATCACACACACACACCTTCTATGCTGACTATAAAGCAGACAGCTGCAGCAAGAATAAAAAAAATTAACTACCATCCTCAAATACAATAGCTCCCTTTGAGTCTCATCATACGCGCTCCAGTTTTTTTCCTGGTTTCATTTATAGTCTCTCTGTTTGACCCTGCTGTCTCGACAAAGGCAGCAGGACTATCATTACAACGGTCAACCGTGTTTTAAAAGTGACAAAAAGCATCTACACGTGCAGGGGGGGAAAAAAACAGCATGTGCAGTTTCTTCTCAAGGACGCAGTTTCCAAGTACAAATTGACTGTGTCCTCCAGTGAAATCCACAGAGAGTATATAAACCTCAAATCAAGGCCAGTATACATCAGTGCCATCAATATGAACCTCACCAAACTGAACTTCAAACCTCCTGCCTGGTCTGTACCATACACACACTGAGACATATTATTTTATTTAGATACTTCCATTACATTATTATTCCACGAACATGGTTGAGAAGTCCAGGTCAGTGATATGATTTAGCAGACAGGAGGCTAAAGCAGTCACAACCGCCGTGTTCCTAACTCTAAGCCTCACCAGACACAAAAGTAGTACCATAAAGCAAGCACAATACGTCATTCTTCTTGAAACAGGAGCTTTACTGACCTCTCAAAATTCCTTATAAAGTGTTGTGAATGTCAACTACTTCAGCTGCTACTGAAGGAAGGGTTGTCTGCCAGTCTGTCTCCAGCACTACTGTTTGAAGTTGTATGCCAACTGCAGGAGGCAAGACGGCACTGTTGGTTGGTATCAATACTGTTGCAACTGAGTATCCAATAGCATTTTTAGTACTGGTTAATATTTCAGTATTGATGTCTTTTTTTGACAACTCTGGTGGATTTTAGTTAGTTTCTGGAACTTATTCACAGGGGAACAAAAACTAGATGCTCTCTCTGGATTAACTAAACTGACCATAGAAAGTTGGTGCACTATCTTCTGTCATCATTAGCCTAAATTGAGTCTAAATGAACATAACATAGTGTTTCTGTTATGGACATAGTGTTTTCAGTGAAAGAAAAGTTTCGCAGAGTATTGAAGAAATCAAATACTTTAACGCAGCGGTCCCCAACCTTTTTTGCGCCACGGACCGGTTTATGCCCGACATTATTTTCACGGACCGGCCTTAAGGTGTCACGGATAAATACAACAAAATAAAACTAGTACCGGTACGGAAAAAAAAGAAGATTTATTCATAACACACTTGAAAAGACCCAGGAAAACCGAGTTAACGATAAAAACGATAACAAAATAACGCTGAAAACCGATAAAAACCCTGAAAACCATACATTTCACACCTGAGCCTCAACTCTTGCGGCCCGGTACCAAACGACTCACGGACTGGTACCGGTCTGAGGCCCGGGGGTTGGGGACCGCTGCTTTAACGCATTTATCTCATGGCAAACCTATATAATTACATTTGAAATAATTACAATTGATGGAACCGTTATTCATTAAATCTAGACTGTTTAAACTGTGATAACCCATGTTGTTATTGTGTTGTGAACAAATAATTTTAATAATTATATCCTCCTGGAACTGTGCCCTTATTTATAAGCAGATAATCACTATGGCAATCAGTTAACTGCTGTGATTCAAGCACGAGCAGATAAATAACCATTCACGTAAGAAAATGTGCGCTTCAAGATCATAAAGATCTCATATTCATTCACTGGCTGAAAGACGCACGAGGTACATAATTCTAGATGAATAATTCAAATCATTATAATGAATAAATAGAAGGTAATTATATCGCTCTAAGCACAAACTCGTGATTCGCTGTCAGCACGAGGCGACAAAGATAAGAGGGGTTTCCCAGAGTCAACAGAGCACAATCACCTGCTTTGGAGAAGGAGGCGAGAGCAGCGACACAAAACACCAATAAACACTAATGATGCAGAGAGCCTCTTATGCATAACATTATGTACTTTTGGAGTGTGTTGCTGTGAGTGTGAGTAGATTTCGATTAATGGCCAATAGCAGAAGTTGAAGATGTACAGATGAACATAAAAGGATTGTGGGAGAGATGATCCCTCGTCATGATTGAAAAGCCTTTGTGGGGAGTCTCTGAACAGCCCCTCCTGAGGTGCACGGCAGAAATGATGAGAATGAAAGAGAAGGCAGGACAGAGAGAGAAACACAGAGGGTCCACCCGTCATCTCTTTTGTTGTCCATCTGCTGTCTTTAGCCGTTCCACCATCCTCTTGACAAGCTTAACCTTCCCCCTCTGCTGTCACAGGTGTGTACCCCAAATGGGACAAACTCCCAAAAAGAGTACCATGGTACTTGAGTTTCTGGATTACACTGAAAACAACAATACAAAAAAGAAGCTTCCATACATGTAAACCACTTTGTCACTTCAAATACCAATTAAAAGCCCTTTTTCCCCCATTTGTTTCCAAAACAAAATATACAAAAGAGTCTTTTTTGGCATGTACTAATTACATGAAACAGATGTCATTAATGTGCTCTTATAATCTACTGTGTAAGTAACTCAGCAGCTCCTAAGTTTTAAGAATGAGTTCAGCACCACAGTCACTATCCAGGTTTTACACAACCAAGAGATGCATCCATAGCCCAGTAACAGAGAAACTGCACAAATATTTTGAAACCTAAAAATAAATTCATCCTGGACTGCCGCCCGTGTTTGGGTAAGGAAGCACTTCTCACTTTGCAAGGAGACCATCAGGACACAGTCATCACACTTTGTTTTTAGTGGGAGGACAATTTTTATAGTAAATTTTTAATGGCTAACCTAAAAAAAGTCAATCAAAGTTCATTGGCGGGGACACTTTAGGAAGCCCAGACCTTCTCATATTTAAGATGCATATATAAAGCAGTGCAGTGAGGTAAACGATGAGAATGAATATCAGATTTTGGTCAGAGATAATCAGCACTGCCTAAATTATTTTACCACCACTTGGATGAGAAGCTAAAGGTGGATAGATCATAGATAGATGCTGGCATGGATGGATGAATAGTGACTAAAACTGCACCCGCAAGCCCCTGAGACACCTATGTCCTTGGATAATAAATATTATCGACCTACAAGACAATTGACTCTGCACAAGAAGCGCTGCAAAACCAAGGACATGTTTGAAACGATTAAGTCATATTTACACCTGAATGCTAACTAGGAATAGCAAAGTCTAGTTAGAAAAAATGAATCCCATCAACATGAGCATAAACACCCACATTTTTCCCCTCTTTTAGGTGACTTGGAGATCAGCACTCGCTATTTCAACCTCACTGAACTGCATTGCATTCATATTCAGAAAAATGTGAGATAACTGTGGCACTATGATCTGAGTCACAGCGTGACTAAATGAATGACTGAATGAATGACTGAATGAATAATTTGTAACTGATAGGAAGAAATAGTGAATATCATTGTGGCACTGACAAAGAAACCAAATTTTATTGGGGATGGGAATCAAAACCAGTTCACAAGCTTATCAGTTCATTTCATCAGTGTACGCTACATCTCTCAAAACAATCAAACTCAGAGGAGTAGCTTTCCTTTTGCAAATACTTTTTTCTCCTGTTTTTTCCCATGTGTTCAGGTGCAGTGAAAGTAACAACTGCAGTGCTTCTAAAAAAGTTCAGTAGGCTTATTTTTTTCCACACCTAAAATTGATGATGAGCCACTAAGAGAGTCCGTAAAAATACCTACAAGCAGAATTAGTAATCACATTAGCAAAAATATATTGACTTATTTACTATTCATCCTCACTAAGGAAACTTATTGGGCATGGTCAGTAACAGTCCAATTTTCTTTCTCTTCTTCTTTCGAGTGCTCCTATTAGGTACCACTACAGCAGACCATCTGCCCCCCATCTCTATCTTCTCCTGGTACACCAACCCTCTGCGTGTCCTCTTTCACTATATCGATGGACCTTTTCTGTGGTCTTCCTCTTTTCCTCTTACCTGGTAGCTCCATATTCAACATCCTTTGTTGGATATATACTCACTATCCCTCCTCTGCACACCTCCAAACAATCTCAACCTTTCCTCTCTGCATCTTTTAATAATGCTGACTCAAATTGCTTGATAACTGAAAAACCAAATATAGGTACTCAAAATGACTGGGTAAGCCTTATTAAACTAAAGCGTTTGAATATAAAGGCACATCTACTATGGTTTATATTTAAGACAGGAGCATGAGGTTGATACTAACAAAAAGACTTATAGTTATATTTTCTTAATTGAAACTTAATGCAAAAGAGTGATGCTGATCTGAGGTAGGTGCATGTTTCTCTGCACTATGTTCTGTCCACGATCTGCACATTTTTGCAGGTCAATAAAACACAAACACACGCATGACACTTTAAATCCCGAAAGGATATGAACAGGCAAAACTACTCAGTGTCGCTCAAACACAAGCCTGGGCAACTTAGCTCTCTACACATCTGAACTTTCAAAACCTTCGACCTTATTAGACCCACCAGACTGGGTCACTTTGACAGCTGAGATCAACAAGTCTCGCCTGTCTTTACAGTGCAAATAGCGCAAAAAAAACCCCTCTCTTTTCACGTTAAAAAGACCAGCTCGAGCCATCTACATCTCCTCGCTCTAATATAAAGCATGTGCCTCTGTTAAACCATGAAAAAAAACCCTCTGCAGTAGCAGCAGGCTACCGTTAGCATGGTAGCTCATAGCTGCCTGTTAGCTTAGCTGTCTCGTAAAACACAGAGGTAACTGCGTTTCAAACCAGACCAAATACAGACCTCTTTTTGTCGTCGTGATGCATGTAATGCCAATTTTTGCTGTCAGTGATTGTGTTTAAGGTCGGCTTAGCCTTCATGTTATGCTAAAAAAAATGAATGGGGGTGGGGGGGGTTGGGTTAGCCTACATCATCCAACAGCATCTACTAGCCGTTATTACTCAATAATAACTCACCTGGTTATAGTGCACCCTGAACGGCTTTAGATAGTCAGACTCTGTGCACGGAACCACTTCAATGTTGTTAATCTCTTCCATAGTTTACACTTGGAGCTTAGATTTGGAGGCTCACCGCTGTTGTCTGTCACCCGCACACTAACTGACAGTGAAGGAATGCCTACGGAAGCCGGGAAAGGACATGAGACTTGGCAGTAAAGGAACAACAAAGGGGGGGGAATGAAATGAATGGCGTTAATTTATATAACAATATAAATACATGTACATGAAGAAAAGAGCAGATTTATCTTGTTGCATCATCTTAGCCCCAGTTATCTTTAAATGATTAGTCTAAATTAACCTAAAGAGCCAAGGACAATGCAATATTGCACACTATACATTCCACGTGACTCACCAGTGCTGCCCATAATACTAGGATAAAGGATGTAGCTATCTTCTGATACCTGTTAGATGGCAAGACAATGTACTTTGTGCAAAGGGAAACGTGGTGGCTGATGACTGAAACCAATAAAAATGCAACAGCCTGCAGTTGTCAGCTTTTCAAAGCCAGCAGCAGTCAAACCATCTAAGGCTTCACTCACGCAGGCCTAGAGACTGTTCTAACAGCATCTGATTGCTGGGGAGAAATCTGTATTCTCTAACTGGTTGGCTCTCACAAGTTGACTGCATTTCAAAAAAGGCTACTGTAACAAAAACCTCAAAAAACTCTTCCGTTCTCCTAACCCTGACTTGTACATTCTGTAACTCCATGCATACATCACCACTGACAACCATATCCAGGATGTTAAATCCAGTCAGTTCTAACATGAGGTTCTACCCTATATTGACTGTTTATCCCACCTAATAATACCACTTGGGTCAATTCAGCACAGAACCCAAGGTTAACGGCTTTAAGTTAACAGCCTTTTGATCTGTGTGGATAGTTTTCCTCTGTGCTGGGTGAATTATCCTTTTTCATTACTCAGTCATGGATTTGAGCCCACTTTGATTGGCAGATGTTCTAAGACAGGCAGCTGTAGCCAATATGTGTCTGGAAGACAAACTATTACAGTACTGTTTATGTCTGTCCATCAACTGTACACACTTTTTTCCTTTCTCTTTCTTTTGCTACTTGGGGGATTTTTCCTTATCTAAATCAAGACTGTGAACACAGAGGGTATTGTATGCTGCAAAGATTTCTGTAAAGTCTCTTGAGGCCTTGTGCCTTGTGATATTGGGCCATACAAATAAAAGTTACTTTATCCTGTGAAAGATCACAAGAGACCGAGTGCTATTATCGTAACACAGACACCAATTTATTGCTGTAAATAAACCTGCTGGCAACTTTTGACATGTGAGTAAAATGTGAGCACTTGAATTAAACTCTTAAGATATGAAGATGGGCTATGTTATTATAAGTCTTCTTCAATTTTACTTGTACAGGTTTGAGCTTGTCATAAAACCCTGATCAGTACTAACAGGCTTCAAATAGGGTAACCAGCTGCTGATTGGACCCATAGCTGTAGCTTTCTACCAGCTATGAGCGGCCATGCAAGCCAGGACATGGTGTTACTCTGCCTTTATTATAAAGCTGGCATTCCATTAATTCGTTCCCCTTTGCATGCCTATTAGATGTTGTCTTCACGAGGGAAGGACTTTCTAAAAAAAAGGGAAAAAAGGCGAAGTATGCAGGAAAAAATATTTAGATTGTACCTATATATCTACGAAGATTAAGCTAAGAATTAGAATTACATAAAAGTGGCATAGCTATTACCGACAGTCTCAAATTAGTACTGCATTATTCACAGGCCGCAGCATGACTTATGTTATTGTCTGGCATTTTTTGCCAGAGGAAGCTGAAAGTAGTTCACTATTTTAATCTATCTAATGAAAGAGGGTTCCTGTACCTTCATATTTTAATACATGGTCCGTTCATCCATCTATCTTCTTCTGCTTATCCAATGCAGGGTGGCAGGGGGGCTGAGCCTATCCCAGCTATCATGGGGCAAGAGGCGGTGCGCAACCTGGAATGGTTGCAAATCTGTTCCTGGACTAACATAGAGAGACAGACAACTCTTTGTGTTCAAATATGGCCTTAAATATATTTCATATACTAAAAATGGCATTGCATATTCTCTTTATGCAAGATTACGCCACTGATTAACACATACTGTAAAAAAGTGCAAGGTTAG